AACTAGGGTATGCCTTGCACCGTTGACTGCCCTATTTGTGCTTTCGCAGCTTCACACAAGTATGCCGCAGCGCTTCTGCGAAAGACTCGAATGGAAATTGTGTAGACGTTTGCAGCTGCTGGACTTTTATGTCTTGTTGCAGCTCCCCAAACTTGAACTTTGGACTGGTACCGGGCTCTCGCTTGTTGGCCACGGTCGTCACTAGACTATTCCAGTAGGTACGGGACTTTCCCATGGCCGAGCTGCTATTTTTGGCCTGTACGATCAGTTCGACTTCCTAGCCGAACGACAAACTGACTTATATGGATGGGCCTCTAGTACCTGACAATGGCTACCAGACCACTGGGCCTACCAGTTCGACTATGGAACCTGGGAAAGGTATGTGGGGCCCTTGGACCAAGCCTGTTATTTTGGACACAGAAATACGTGAAAACCTTTCACTCGATCTAATGCCCAATCGTAATGATTGTATTCACGGCGTCTGTTTCGGTTCGAATACAGTTCTGGTGATAGTTTCTGTGTTTGGTTGGTTTGTCTACGCAAAGTTGCTGACATTGAGTATAACAGGCTTCAGTCTATTGCCTCCTACACCATGTAGCCACCAAACAGCAGGTTTGCCTCGACGCCAGCTGCTATTGCCAAGGGAGCCTTAGAAGTTGAGCAGCAGAGTATTGGTTTATGGTGTTATCTCCTCCTCTGCCACACCAGCTCCTGGCAATAGCACAATGATTGGATTCCGTTCGGTTCCATAATTTGTTTGCCTTCAGTGCATGGCGCTGAGGAAATTGCAGGAATGTACACGATAAATAATACACATTTGACTGAAACCGACTCACAATACTGGAGAATAAATATCAAGTACCGCTACCTTCTGGTTGATGTAACCTCAGGACATCTCATACCTATGTGCGACCTGACATCCTGGCAGGCGCTGGAAATCTGTTGCCGGGACAGTAAACACAGAAGGAACATCCCCTTTTTCACTTCCTTTGTTTGCGAATGGAAAAAGAGAGCTGGGACAATGATTGTCTTCAGCTGGCAGTGGTGCGTGATCTCACGCAGGGATGTATGCCAGTTGTGATGACTAAGGGCTCGAGCTAAAACTAGTAGAAGCCTTTGGGACTGGTTGGATTTCCATCCTTTCTTAGAGAGTACGGTCCCAAGCAATCCCATCCCGGATTTGAAAAGAGGGCTCCACATTCTTGATTCAGAAACAAGTGTCAGAATGGAGCGAAGCAACTTAACCCTTGGGTACCTCTTTCACCAGATTCGAGCTGTAAGATGGGGAGCCCTGGGATCATTTTTATTTTATTTTGAACAATATTTATGTGTTTTCCACTCAACCACACATACGTGGAGAAGCCTGCACTTGAAATGAAACCGGAAAAGAACAATGGTTAGAAAATGCCAGGAAAAGTCGATGTGCCCGTCTTCAGTCCCATCATTCCTGTCTGCTCTTTTCCGGCATTTGGCGTTGGGAACATCATCTTGAATCTTCTTATGCAGAAGACTCGTCAATATTTGGCTATACGGCAGTGTGTAGCTGGCTCTTTTAAGTAGGGTAAAAATAGCGGAACTGCTGAATACTGCCAAGCTTGGAAATGAAAACTTGCCACCAGGACCCCAAAGTTAGAAGGAATTGTCATGTTGCAATGGATTTACAGTTTTAGGCTTTTAGGCTTTAGCTGATTTCTGGTCTGTTTCACGATAGGGAGGGCCATTTGGGCTAACGCTGAGGCCATGCTCTCACTAGGACTTATTTTGAATGTACGCCCACGCCCGGTAGAAATCCATGCCCACACCCACTAGAAACCCATGCCCACGACCACTAGAAACGCACGCGAACTAACACTGCCAGGCACAGCTGGGGAAGTCGTAGTGCAGGTATGGGTGCTTGATTCTGGCTGTCCATTAGGTAATAAAATTAGGTGACCCACAGGTGAAGTGACTGAAGTCTGATTGGGCAAGTCATGTCTTAACACAACCTGCTGGTGAGCTGGTGTAATGTTACCTGCATATATCCGATGTGAATCATTTGCTCTACAGGACATGTTGGTAGTGGCATCTTCATCTCACAGTGCTCATGCCAATTTTTATCTCTTACCCAGATGGATTGAGGAGCAACTACAATGTCCATGTCCATCTTTGTCTCTCAGTCTGATGTTAATGAATGATCAATTAATTGATTGGTAACTCCCTGGTTAGCAGCAACACAGCAACTTAGGAGTGAAAGGAGGGCTCTTTGGCTTCTTCGCCAAAAGGAGAACTGCTACCCCTGTCATGTGGAGGTTGGCCTTTAAGAACTAGTGACGGCTAAAGAGTGTGTGTGTGCGTGTGTGTTGTTAAAGCACCCCAAATTCTCTCTCTCATTTCCACCACAAATTATAACAAGCCATCCATAACGAGAAAGTATAGATAGACAATATAGTAGAAAATGCAAGGTTGGCCACGCTTGTGTGGTTCAGCGCCAAGTGGCCACACACTTGTCTGCCGCTGAAGCGGCACACTTGCACATGTGTGTGTGTGTGTGTGTGTGTGTGTGTGTGAGAGAGAGAGAGAGAGAGAGAGAGAGAGAGAGAGAGAGAGAGAGAGAGAGAGAGATGTACAAGCACGCAATTGAGTCGAAAAGATTGGCGCCTTACCATGGAACTTTACTCAAAAGAGATGGGTAGAAAAAAAAGCGCGAAATCCTTCACTCTCTAAATTGTGGCTCCTGGCCAGCCAACTAATCAACCATTACCTCTCACCCCGCTCAAGCATTGGCGATCCCCGTTGCCACGTACGCAGTGCAAAGCGCAGTGATCGCCAACCCGTCAACCCAACTACTATGCTGATGCGAGATCCTGCAGTCCATCGCAGTGATTTAGCACACGACCCTGCAAAGTTGCAGCAGACCTGTCCGGACTTTCCAACTCGCTGATCACCACGGCTGTCTGGCCATTACTCCAGCGGAGTTGGCAGATGCATGTGAGAGAAAAGAGTGCAAAAGAGACACGCTTACGAAATTAATTTATAGTTGCGAAGAAAGTGGAAGAGGGGAGGCTGATCGGGGCGAGGAGGGGAGGGAAGTAGACAGGGTGGACGGTAGGAAGGCCATGTTGATCCGATCAGAGGTGATCGTAGCCAATGGATTGCAGAGTGGGGAGATGGAGTCTCTACACGCTGCTGTTCGACTTCTATTGTTACTTGCGGGTTTACAAGATCCTTTGGCGGCCCACCAAGCAACCCTCAATCCCGGTGGTTCTCTTACCACCACCAGGATAGAGGCCTTGCAAAAGGGCTTTTCAAAAAAAAAAAAAAAAAAAAGGCAAGAAGAGAGGTTACGAGAGATGGTGTAAGGAGGGGCAAAGATTCAACCGGATCAAGAAGAAAAAGAACTGGGTGCAAAAAGTGGGAGAAGAAGACAGTTACAACTTAGCGGCTAAGGCACGAAGAAGGAGAATGAAGTGCGAGAGAAAAGATTGCATGCAAAAGCCGACGCGCAGCAACGCACTCACAGTAAACGTGAAGGCACCAAAATAGTTACGTGAAATGATAGTGAAGCTGCACCTAATTCCTACAGCCAAATGGAGATTGAAAAGTTGGAAAAAAAATTCCACGTGTGCTCACTAAGGCATGCGAAATCCTCTACTGATTCCTATTCTATGATTGATCAACAAATTTTCATATGGCTTGCCATAACATTTTGCAAGATTTATGGACAAAAGGAAGGACTCGCGACAAAATATCCCGACAAACACCCACGATTTGGAGAAAGACTCCAAAGGAAATTTCGATCGCGCTCGCTAAAGCACGCAAAAATCCTACATCTTTTGTAGAAAAATGGAATCCATACGAATTGGGATGGTAAATCGAGAATTTGCAAAAAGGAAATGTGAACTCCGAGAAGGCGAACCACCAACCGATATCTTACCAAAAACGAAGCCTGAAGAATTACATGGAAATCGGAAAGTACAACCAAAAACATAGTATAGAACCCCTTTAAGAACAAAAAAATGAAAGGGGCACAAGAACCAGTCATACAACCGCACAAGCCGCACACTCGTGCAGAGTTCCGTGCGGAGTTCCGTGTGGGGGGTGCCTGTGTGGAATCGTGCAGGTTTTTTATTATTATTTTATCTTTTTTTGGGAGGGGGGACGGGGGGGCGTATGACAAGAAGATGGGGATATGGAGAGGAGGAGGAGGATGTGGACGAGGAGGACGGCGAGGATAGCGAGGACGACGAGGAGTCGTCGAGATGGGGGAGGAGAAGAGATTGACGGAGGGAAAAGAGGAGGGACAGGAGGAGGAGGACAAGTGGGAGGAGGAGGAGACATGGACGGCGAGGAAGGGGAGGACACGAGGAAGGGAAGGAGACGAGGAGGCATGGAAGATGAGGAAGTACGAGGAGGAGGAGGAGACAAGGAGGATGAGGAAGGGCAAGAGGAGGAGGACGAACAGGAGACGAAAAGGAGAAGGGAGGAGGGGACATGGAGGATGAGGAAGGGGAGGAGGAGCCAAGGTGAGGCAGCACTCCTGGAATTTTTTTTTCATCCCGCTTATAATTTTGGCGGGGGGCCTCAAATGCACCGTTTCGACCCCGGGCTTCGTTATTTTTTTCTGAGAAGGGTGACGGGTCGTTCCCCTCACGCGTCGTAAGCCACACGGGATCGGTTGGGCGCATGCGTCGCACGTCGGGAACCGCCCGCACGACGTGGGCTTGCAAGTATGGAACCAGTGCATGCACATAAGCTCGTGTGTCACAACACTCCATTAGGGACACCTGTGACGCTTGAACCTCACATTCTACACTGCTTTCCTATTGGAGTGACAAAAGTGCTGAAAAGGGCCTGGAAAGCGGCAATGGGGGTGTGCCAAGGATTTTTGGAAAATCGAGTGTGGAGTTCCAAGACAAAACTGGAATCTCCCGTGCGGTCCCAGTTATGGAGCAACGAGTAATGCAGAAAAAGACGAAAAGAACCCGGATCAACGACTTCCTAATCCAAAAAATATCCTTGGGGACTGTTTCGCGAGCGACGCGACGTCTCTTTCCTGACCGAAAGGGAGCGGGAACGCACGTGGGATCCCAGTTTTGCACAAGGGTTCGATGACGTTCCTTGAAGAGCTCAGAATCCGAGTAGGAGGGTCGCAGTCTTACTGCTTTCTCCTTGAATTCCTTTTCGTCACGTGTCCGATAGTTAAACCCCTGGGCTCTAAACCGTTCCGTACGGCGGCAATCACTGCACAAAGTGCGAGGCCAATGGGGAGCAACTATTGGCCACGGAATAGCAATCAGCTCATTGAAATGAAACAAAACGGAATAGAGAGGGAGATGGGTATCAACAATCACAAAACCCGAGCTGACGAACCCAGAACACCGTTCTTCCGACGGAAAATGGTAAGGGCTGCCAATCTTGGCTACGGCTTCGCGTACGTCCCAGTCACATGTCCTGTCCTCGTTATACAGGAAAGGGCATGAGCGGGGATGATTTGAGAAGTTGGCACCCCGATGGTCCGGCTGGTCCAGTCCACATGGCCGTCAACACCGACACACATGCATCCTAGAGGGTAGTGGTGGTGTCTGACATGGCTTTTAAACCACCAGTACTCCACCCAGCTTGCAGCAAGAATTTATTGGTCAACGTGGAGCCATTGGAAGGTTTGGCATACAGGACTGAAGAGGCTGGCAGCTCCCAGTAGGCTCCTGCCTTAACTGGTTTGGTTTAGGGGCAGGTACAATCACGGATCAGGAAAAGGATTGGAGGTACTGCTGGTTTCAGTCTATGACCTTGAGCAGCATTGAGTTTAGGTGCTCTCTTGTTGTAACAAGTAGAGTTTTCTGCGCAAAACTTGGGAAATATGTTGCCCTTTTATTTTTATTAACTACTGAGTATTTACCCTATCAAACACTAAGCCTCACCTGCGTACCCATTAGTGTGCTGGTTTCTGTGTGCATTCTTTGAAAAGTGTTATACTGAGGATGCTCTTGGGTTCTCAACTACAGATTCACTGCTACATGTGCCTAACCTGCAACTGCACAACAGGCACTTAATTTACTGATCAACAGCTTCAGAGTTCATTCTGTCAAGGCATGGGCCAATGTACCCTGCTTAGATTTACTATATTCCTGCTCTGGCTCTGTAAAATGTACTTGCGAGCGTGCACTTTCTCGGCACAGATGGTGCACCTGACCCACTTCCCAGTGCACTTATATTTTGACAGGGCTAGCCTGGGGGATTCTGGTGGGCTGTATTTGTTCTTACTCAAGTCCTCTCTTGTGTGCTAACGTCAGAGAGTCCCTGTAAAAGTGAATCAACGAATCAGGATCACACCCGTTTTGGCCATAAATGCAAGTATGGGTCATGCATTTTGAGATTCTAACTAGTATTCGCTAACGTTTTCCTCCGGTGTTTGTTTTCTACATCTGCATCCACATCTACATCTACATCAACATCTACATCTACATCTACATCTACATCTACATTTACATCGACATCTACATCGACATCTACATCGACATCTACATATATTATTATATTATTATATTATATTATATTATATACTACTAAAGGAAAAGCCGGGTCTCGCGTGGCATCCCTGTGAGACCCGGCTGCCAGTCTTCGGAAAATGATGGTGACAGGGGGGCCGGGCCCAAGGGAAACGGCATGTGAGTTCGGCCGGCATCGCATGTTCGGATACAAGTACTTAGTGCAGAGCCTTTCGTCGTGTTACTTAGTTTTCAGTAGTCCCGTGATTCGATTTTGAGTTTCAGTAGTACCGTGATTCGGTTTTCAGCTGGACAGCTGGCAGGGGCATTTACTTCGTTTCTTTTTTTTTTGGCGCCGCGTGCAGTCGGTTCTTAGGGCCCTCCTCCACTACACTGGAAAATGAGACTGAATCTTGCACTTGAACATGGAAAGATACAACACCGTTTCATGTGGTTTCTTTTTTCACGTGGCTTCTTTTTTTCTGTCGTTTGGGTGCCAGCCGCGGGGTTGGAGACTTACCTGTTGGCCGATGTGTTGCGCATCCTGTCGATGGAAATCTCTCTCTCTCTCTCTCTCTCTCTCTCTCTCTCTCTCTCTCTCTCTCTCTCTCTCTCTCTCTCTCTCTCTCT